CCTGGGCCCCAGGAGCACGGGGGATGGGGGAGGGGCGGAGCAGAAGGCCTCCTGGCTGAAAGCTTCCACTCCGCCAGCCAGGGCCTTTCCCGGGGAGAGACAGGGGCATCTTAGAGGACCGGCAGGTGTCGGGACCTCACTGCAACATGACCGCTCAGCGTGGTGCGTTCGGCTGCCCTCGCCTCTTCCCGGGGGAGGCGGCCGGGCAGACGCCAACGCCCACCCAGCTCACCTTGGAATCTTCTCTGGGCATGGCTCCTGGGTTTTCAGTTCAAGAGTTGCTTTGCTGTTAGAAGCCGTCCATTACCCGTCTCTTGCTGAAATAAGCGAAGTTTCAGAGGCAGCAAAGCTCCCTCTGTGTTACTTTGAGACTGTTCCTCCCCGGGCGGTGGCTGTGGGGAGCTAGGGGCAGTGGGGGCTGAACTGTGGGTGTTTGCCTGGGTGCAGCTTCCCTGGCGTTTCTGGTCCTGCTGAGCCCAGGCTCTGAGGAGGGAGATGCCAAATGCTGGGGCAGGAATGTTCACCTGGGGCTCAGAGCGAGGAAAGGGCCCAGGCGCTGCTGGGGGTGGGGGTGGGCTGCCTCTGTCCCGCCCCTCCCCCACGCCTCTTCCAGGGATCCTGTGTGCGGTGCAGCACCCCAAGCTTGCACCTTCGCCCGACCTCCCCCGAGGTCAGGGGCGGCAGCCCTGTGGGACCTGGCAGGGCTGGGCAGCAGCTGAGATTGTACTTGGGCAGGAAGTGAACAGGAGGCGAGGGGCGACATTCACCCCCAGGGCACTCCACCCACCAGGCAGGCAGCCGGAACTGAGGCTGCTCCTCCGGAGGCCCCACGGAGCGGCAGCCCGAGGGAGATGGATACACCGGACCAGCCCGCCGCCCTGAGCCTCACGGCCTGAACCCCGGGAGCTGACGGGCTGAGACGTCTGCGGGGGACCCCAGGTGGGTGCACGGTGAGCCCCACAGGCAGACGCCCTGCCAAGACCCACAGCCAAGGTGCCCACCTGCGACCCCCTCCGAGCAGGTGGACGGATACAGCCGGACACAGCTCCAGCCGCAGAGCAGCGGCCACGCGGGCCCGCCCTGCTGGGGGGACCTTCACTGGTGCCCCCGTGAGCCCCCGGGGAGGGCGGGAGAGCTTGGACCAGCTCTGGACCAGGTTCCTCAGAGGGTTCAGTCAGGTTGGGTCGGATTCCCCGCGTTGTGTCGGGTTCCCTCAGGCTCCCTCAGGTTCCGTCGGAGGACCAGGTGACCCTGCTGGGCCTGGGCTGGGCTGGGGTGAGCAGCCCGGGGAGGCCCCCAAGGGCCCCTGCCCCCGCGCTGTGGCATCAGCTCAGAGGGCAGGCCCTGAGCTCCACACCCTTCAGGCCCGGGGTTGGCCCGGCCGCTGCCACCCTGCCTGCCAGGGGGCGCCTGACCTCCCTGCTCTGCTGCCTCAGCTTCCCAGACTGCAGCTCGGGCCTGGAGGTTTCTGGAGGTTTCTGGAAAGTCAAGCTACGGGAGCCCTGCAGGTTCTCCTTGGACGGGAACCCGGACCCTGAACCCAAAGGGAACAATTCTTCCCCCTCCCCCTCCCAGCCCCTCTTCCTCCCTCCTCCCCGCCCCCTCCTTCCCCTCTCCGTCCCCCTCCCAAGACCAGGGTCCAGCTTGCTCTCCCTCCTGTCCCCTTCCTCTGCCCCCTCCTCCTCCCTTCCCATCCGCAGTCCCCCTCCTCGGGCCCCCTCCCCGTCCCCCTCCTCCTCCTCTGCCCCCCCATCTCCCTCCTCCCTCTCTCTCCCCCTCCTCCGTCCCCCTCCTGGCCCCCTCCTCTCCTCCCACCCCTCTTCCCTTCCTCCGTCCCCTCCCAGGCCCCTCCCCCTCTCCCTCCCCCCTCCGCTCCCCTCCCCTCCCGAGGCCCCAGGCCCAGCTTGCTCTCCCTCCTGTCCCCAGGCAGCAGCAAGGCCATGTGCCCCCCGCTCAGCATGCGCCACGCCGGCGAAGGCGTCTCCCGCCTCTACGTGTCCTGGCTGTACCAGCTCCAGCACGGGCAGATGCGCAGCTGCTTCGCCTGCTTCAAGACGGCCTTCCTGGAGCTCAAGGACTCGCTGGAGGTGGAGGAGTGGGACGACACCGACTCCTGGGACCCGGAGCCCGAACCCGAGGAAGCCGAGGGGCCGGGGCAGCCAGTGCTGGGGGGCCCTGAGGCCTGGGGGGCCCCGGCTGCCACTGCGGCGGGCTCCGAGGAGCTGGGCACCAGCCTCCACTTTGTGCCCACCGAGCTGGATCCGCAGGACGTCGTGGCCCTGTGCCGGGGGCCCGAGGATTCGGACTGGACCCAGGAGCTTCCCTGGAGATTTGGGGACGTGCCTTCCTGCACCCACTGGCCCATCTCCACTGCCCCGTGGCAGGAGCAGCTCCGCTGCGTCAGGGAGATGCCCCCCGAGGAGCCCGGGACCCCTGCCCCGGCCCAGGACTAGCTGCTGGACCTGTGGTGTCGGCCTGGTGGCCGGCTCGTCCTGGGGGCCACCACGAGACTGTCTAGCTCCGGGTGACAAAGCACTGTTTCTGGGGACCCTCTCCATTGTCTCATTCCCCCTGGACTCCCTGAGGGCGGGCCCCACCCCAGAATGAGACCTCGTCCCTCTGCAGCCCGGAGCCCGTGCCTGGGCCCTGGTGAGGGTCTCCCCTGCGGATTGCTCAACCCTGGAGGAGTCCCTGATGCAGGCCTTTCAGCCCCTGGCCTGGAAATGCGTGCGGGGTCCCGTGCCCCCTCTGCCCACAGCCTTACTTCTGGCTGCCTCTGCCCGGGTGGGCGTGCCACCAGTGTCCTCCACACACGCAGGAAGCGGGGCCCAGGCCGGCTGCTCTGCCTCCTGTGCGGGTCTCAGGGGAAGGCATGGCGGGTTTGCTGGCTGGCTGACCACAGTGCTGGCCCTTCCCGGAGAGCCCCCCACAGCCTGCTTCCTGGGACACCCCAAGGGCTCTGCGGCAGCCCCGGGGTGTCTGGTGTACCACGGGAGGGGACTCGGTTTCAAAGGTTGCCACTTGCCCAGTTTGACCCCTTAATTCCCGTTGTTCTGTTCATCTCTTGTTTTGACTTTGAGGAAGAAATAAGAGCGTTGCAGCCAGCTTGGTGAGCAGCGACTCAGCTCCTCTGCGGCCCTCGTTTTAGTTTTAATGTTTATTGTTTTTTTTCATTTCCTTAAAAGCAGAGTAAGAGAAAGAATGGTCCCACCGTCCCCTGCCCAGGGCTGACAGCGCTCTGGCACGCGGGCCGAGCGTCACAGGTGTCACTGGCACGTGGCGTGTAAAGAAACGCGGGAAGCAAGTCCCAGGTCATCAGGTGGCGTCAGTGGAGTGTCCACAGCCACTCCCACGCGTTTCAGGATGGAGTCTCGGGCGAGTGACTGGCACTGTGGTGCTGGTGCCCTGGGGTGCCAGGTCTCAGAACAGAGGGCCTGGGTCTCTGCTCTCCGGATCCTGGCTGCGTGGTTGGCGCCCTGCCTCCACGCAGGAGCCCCGCCTGCCACCTGGCCCAAGCCCGCCTTGGAGTGTCCGGAGCGAGCAGGTGGAGGGGAGATTCCTTCTGTCTGTGTCCCCCCTACCCTGTCCCCTGAGACCAAATCGTTCTGGGTCCTTTGGTACTTGTCATGCACATTGACAAGAGGTCGGCGTGCAACGTGGAAGAGGTGTGTGCCTTGGAGGCTTCCGAGCGGCGCCCCGCTGAGGGGTCGGTGGGGTGGGGGGAGGCAGCAGGCCGCCCCAGCACAGGGTGCCGCAGCCCGTGTCCCCCATCCTGCCCAGAACAGGGCCACAAGTCATGGCTCCTCCATTCGTGGACCCTGCTCAGCGGGGACGGGCTGGGCAGCCTGGCTCACCTGCTGGGCGAGGAGAGCCCGGCACGGAGTGGGTGATACGTGGGTAAACCCAAGGCATTTCAGAGTGTTTGTGGGGTCATCTGCGTTGGTGGAAGAAGCGGAAATCCACGCACAGTTCTTTCATAGCAAGCATCTTCCGTGAACTCTGAAGAGATCCCCCTTTCAGAGTGGCGACTCCACAGGACGGTAGTGAGCGGTCCAACCCCGGCTGGGGCCGCCTCCTGGGCGGGGCACACTCTGAAAGCTGAGCGGGACTCTCCTCTGGGCACCCACAAGGACCCTGCCAGCTTCTGCAGTGCCCCCAGCCCGTGTGGCTGGCTCCCCCCTTGGCCTGTGATACCTGCTGCCAGCTCCCACTCCTCCCGGAGCCGCTGGCCTGGAAGCTCCGTGCTCGCTGTGGCCAGGGCCTAGGCACTGCCCCGAGGACAGCCGCTCCTGCTGGTTGTCCAGACGGCATCCAGAGCGCTTGGTGTGGTCAGAAACCCAAACTCAGAAGTCCTGCATCTTACCAGGCCCCCGAAGGCAGTCCTGGGGTGTGCTTGGTGGGGGCCAGGCACTGGGGGACAGACAGAGCACAGGATGGCCCGAGGCAGAGGTGGACCACACGAGGAATCTGACACCCTGCCATGTGGGCCCTTTCCAGAAATATCCACTGGTGCCTGTGGTGTGCCAGGTGGGGACCGGACGTGGGCACTGCGAGCCCCTGCAGGTCACAGATATCTCCCTGCCCCAGAGGCACCCACTGGTCCTTGCAGGTCCCTGGCCAGCCGGGAGCCGTCACCCGGGAAGCAGCAGTCAGGCCTGGCTGCTCGCCCAGTGTTCCAGGCTGGTAGGAGCTGAGCAGAGCCCGGGGCTGCATGGTGAGGTCTGGTGGCCTCCGGAGCTCAGCTGGCAGGGAGCGTCGAGCCTGAGGGGTGCCTGCGCCCACTCCCCACGAGGGCTCTCCCAGCTCCCCTCCAGCCTCCCACCCCTGGCACCATTTCCCCAGGGTCACAGGCTGCTGTGCTGGGAGTCCCCTGCACCTCTCAGAGGGAGACCCCCAGGTCTGTTCCGTTTTGTCCTCCTCCCCCCCAGGTCTGCAAGCCCAAGCACCACAGCTGCTCCGAGTCCCAGCTTATGGCCAGCGCCAGGAATGCTGCCTCCTCCTCCTTTCAAATGATTTATTGATTGATTCACTTTTTAAAGGCAGTGAGCTACCGAGACCTTCCATCCACTGGCTCTCTCCCCAGATGGTCACCTCAGTGGTGGCCCAGGGCCAAAGCTGGGAGCCCCAAGCCCCATCTGGCTCTCCCACATGGGTGGCAGGGACTCAGCACCTGCCAGCCTGTGCCCTCCAGGGAGGTGTTTGCGTGGAGTTCCCACCTGGGGTGCAGTGCCCCAGGCTGCATCCTAGCCGCTCTGCCAACCTCCTGGCTGCTCTGCAGGCACAGTGCCCAGCCTGATACTTGAGGGGCGACTTCGCCCAGGCTCACCTGCCTCAGGACCGCATCCACTGAGTGGCCCCTTGTTCATGTCCCACAAGCTGAGTGGCCTCCCGGCCCGTGTCATGACCCCAGCACTGGCGTCACCATAGCGGCCAGGGGGTGGGGGAGCCGTGCTGATGGGTAAGGCCCTGCCCTCAGGGCCTGACCAGTGCCCAGCAAAGGTGGAACAGCCTCAGTGGGCGGGGGACCCGTGAGAGCAGGGACTGGGTCAGTGGCAGGACAGAACAGGGTGGGATCTGGGATCCTGGTCAGAGATGGGATAGAACAGGGGGAGCCAGGGACCAGGCCAGTGATGGCACAGGCGAGGGGGTATGGTGTGACTGGGGCCCGGCTCTCTCAGGGTCACTCAGTGTGACCACAGAGCTGCCCTCACCTCCCCCACAAGCCCCCACCAGCCCCATGCTGCCAGAGAACCTTCTCCCTGCACCTGTCCCCAACCCTGGCCAGGCCCAGCACCGAGTCCGCTGTCAGCTCGCACCCCTGGAGGAAGCAGGACGTGTGTCCCCAGGGAAGGAGGGGCTGAGGCGAGCACATAGATGCCTGTGAATGGGGCTGGGCCCTGATTTTACTGCCTGAATCGCGGCCAGTGAGGACCCAGGCAAGGCAGTGCACGCAGTGGACATGGCTGGATGGAGGTGGCAGCTTTGCGACGGCTTTCCGGCCCCTCCCCAGTCGTCTTGCCTGGTCCCGCTACGTGAACGTGGGGTCAGCGATGGCGTGGTCGGGGTTACAGGTGAAGGCAATGGTGATGGCATAGCGGGTGCCCCAGCGGACCTTCTCCACGCGGTGCAGGTTCTCAGAGCCAGACGTGAAGAAGGAGACCCGGCCTGGGGGGGAGTGGGGGAGGTGGCAGAGGCCACGTGCAGGCAGGAGAGAGGCCAGCGCCCTCCACAGGAGCAGGTGCAGCAGCAGGCAGAGGAGTGGGGGCCTCAAGGTCCACCCCCCCACGGGCCTGCTGGAGCAAACACTAACCGTATACCGCACAGGGAGGTGACCCCGGTACCCCACCCCTGGGTCAGGACAGGGCACCGCGGCGGCTGGAAGCCTGGGGAGCCATGTTGAACAAGGCCGGGGCTCTCTGTCCCCTGATGCACACACCCGTGTGACCCCGGGCTCCTGTGCTGCCTCCCTTGGCTGCCCCAGCCCAGCCTCTCCACCCACGGCCTCCGTGCCTGTCTCCCGCCCAGCCCCGGCCCGAGGGGCAACTGCCACCTCCTTTGCCTTTGGATGGAAGAGCCATGGCCAGCACAGGAGGGATGCAGGGGACACTACAAGCTGAGGTGACCTCTCTCAGGCCTGGACAGGCTCAGGCCACTGGCCCTGCCACTGGCCAGCATGAGCTCAGAAGAATGAGCCCACTGGCTACGGCAGCCAGCAGTGGGCAGGGCAGACACTTGGCAGCGGGCCTCACACACGGTGGGCCCCCAGGAGTGCTGCCCCAGTCCAGGCAGAGCCCCCCCAGAGCATGTGCCACCTGCGTGTGTGTGTGAGTGTGTAGGTGTGCATGTGTGTGAGCGTACGTGTGTGTGAGGGCAGTGGCCACTGAGTGCGGCAGGCCCCGTGTCCAGCCCGAGTGGCCCACCTGCTCGTGGCTCCACCGTCGTGTTGGCTGCTTCGTCCACGAACACGAAGCGCCCTCCGCCGAAGTCCTCCAGGTAGTCGGAGAGGTAGAGCAGCGAGGTGTAGTCAAAGGAGCCGTAGGTCACCTGCAGAGAGACGGACGCTGGGGGACGAGGCTCATGAGGCCAGCAGGGAGGCGGAGCTCCACCCGGGTCCCCTGTGACTATCCAAGGACCCCCGGAGCTCCACCCCGGTCCCCTGTAGGTGCCCAAGGACTCAGGCACTTGCGCCATCAGCTGCTGCTTTCCCAGGCTGTCGGCTAGGAGCCGGGAAGTGGAGCAGCTGGGACACACACCTGGCCCTCCCATGTGGGATGAATTGGAGTGAGCCTAACGCTGCCCACTCCCCAACTCTTCAGAGAGCGGGGTGAGCAGTCAGGTTCCTAGCAGGCCTGGCATGAGGGCGGCACCACCTGCTCAGGCTCCAGGCCCACCTATGGTGGGACGCCCACCCCACCCAGGCCACACACAGAGATGTCCTGGACGAGACTGCATGAGATCAGGGTGGGTCTGTGCAGAGCCCTCTGAAAGGCGGGCATCCTTCCTGCCCCACATGGTGGGGTGGTCACCCCAGTCATCACCTCCCTGGCCCCGTCCCTGGCCAGACCATGCCCCACCAGCTTCTCATGCCGACCAGCTCCTCTGTCATGCTCAGACTACACCTGGGCACAAACCACGCCCCAGGCCAGCTCCTCGCCCCGCCCAGACCACTCCCCAGGCCAGCTCTTGTTGGCACAGATCATGCCCCAGTACAGACCACACCCCAGGCCAGCCCCTCGGCCCCGCCCAGACCACACCACATGTCCCCAGCCCTTGTTAGCTTTAACCCCTCTATTGGCCTCCAGTGAGTAGACATTCCCACTTCTGAGTTTGTCCTCATGACCAGCTGCTGTGGTGCCCACATCCTGTCGCCACAATCTGCACAGCCTGGGCTGGGAGCAGGGCTGCCTCTGCTGCCAGGAGGTCCAGGCCTGGCTCAGCAGCAGCTCTAGAAGGCTTGGGGGCAGGGGGTGGCGAGGGGACAGGTCCCACCAACAGGCAAGGTGCAGAGCCAAGCGTGGCCACCCAGGTGGAGCCACACGGCCAGGGGAAGGAGCCCTAGGTGTGGCCAAGCCTGGGCACTCACCAGGGCCTGGCTCCCAGGCAGGGAAGACCTTGCCCACCTCTGGGAGTGTGCTGCCCCAGCCAGGGTTGGCATGCGTTCAGCGGGTGCCAGGATGTTCCTCCTGCGCCCGCCAGTCGTCCCCTATCCAAGATTGGGGACTATACAGAGGTTGGGTGAGGTTGCCCAAGGCTGGGGATACTAGGCCCACCCACATCCTGCACAGCAGGGTGGGGCAGCCAGCTCAGGCCAAGGAGGCACTGGGCACTGTCTTGGTGCCTGGCTACCTGAGGGCCAGCTGTGGCTCCAGGACTCTGCGTGGGGTATCTCGTGCAGGCCCAGGTCCTTGGGGGTTCCCATCCCCACGTCCCAGCACAGGAGCCTGGGAAGCAGTTGGTCAGGGCCATCCCAATCCTCAGTCCCAGGGGATGCAACAGGAAGCGGCAGGTGCGTGAGGGGCGGGCCGGGAGGCCTCAGGTGGACATCCCCAGGCACAATGGACCACCAACAAGCGTGAGGTCTGGGGTCTGCATGGCCTCCTGCGGCCTTGGGGTCTCTGGCCTGCTCCTGCCCCGGGGTGGGCTCACCTTGCACGGCCTCCTGCGGCCTTGGGGTCTCTGGCCTGCTCCTGCCCCGGGGTGGGCTCACCTTGTCCACGTGCGTGTGCCAGTACTCGTCATGCGCTGTCTGCGCTTCCGTGCTGTTGATGCGCGAGAAGAACGTGGGTTTCGTCAGGTGCAGTGAAGACGTGCTGAGGCCAAAGGCCTCGGCCACGGCCAGCTGGACCTTCCGCCGCACTTCGCTGCCCAGGGAACAAAGGTCATCAGGAGTGGCCTGGCCGCCACACTCACAGAGGGCAGTGGGGGGCCAAACAGGTGGCACAGGATGTCACACCTGCAGCATCCAGGGCGTGACAGAATTTGACGGGCAGGAAGGGGGTGTCCCTGCAGTGTCCCTTCCCAGGTGACCTCAGTGAGTGTGACGGGCAGGAAGGGGGTGTCCCTGCAGTGTCTCTTCCCAGGTGACCTCAGTGAGTGTGACGGGCAGGAAGGGGGTGTCCCTTCCCGGGTGACCTCAGTGAGTGTGACGGTCAGGAAGGGGGTGTCCCTGCAGTGTCCCTTCCCGGGTGACCTCGGTGAGTGTGACGGGCAGGAAGGGGGTGTCCCTTCCCGGGTGACCTCAGTGAGTGTGACGGTCAGGAAGGGGGTGTCCCTGCAGTGTCCCTTCCCGGGTGACCTCAGTGAGTGTGACGGTCAGGAAGGGGGTGTCCCTGCAGTGTCCCTTCCCAGGTGACCTCAGTGAGTGTGACGGGCAGGAAGGGGGTGTCCCTGCAGTGTCCCTTCCCAGGTGACCTCGGTGAGTGTGACGGGCAGGAAGGGGGTGTCCCTGCAGTGTCCCTTCCCGGGTGACCTTGGTGAGTGTGACGGGCAGGAAGGGGGTGTCCCTGCAGTGTCCCTTCCCAGGTGACCTCAGTGAGTGTGACGGGCAGGAAGGGGGTGTCCCTGCAGTGTCCCTTCCCAGGTGACCTCGGTGAGTGTGACGGTCAGGAAGGGGGTGTCCCTGCAGTGTCCCTTCCCGGGTGACCTCAGTGAGTGTGACGGGCAGGAAGGGGGTGTCCCTGCAGCGTCCCTTCCCGGGTGACCTCGGTGAGTGTGACGGGCAGGAAGGGGGTGTCCCTTCCCAAGTGACCTCGGTGAGTGTGACGGGCAGGAAGGGGGTGTCCCTGCAGCGGCCCTTTCTGGGCGTGATCTCAGGCTCCCCCAGGTTGCGGTGGGGGCCCACTGAGGGACAGCATTCAGGGTCATCGTGTCCTTCCATGTCACTGTGTGTCCATCTCGGTCATCTCAAAATAAGAGCAGCTGCGGGTGTGAGGGTGACAGACAGTGTCCCCATAGGCCAGGCCTGGCACAGCTCACGGGTCTCAGGCACACTGGGCCACCCCCACCCGGCTCCGGGCTCCTCTCATATGGGCCAATTCCCCCCACCTCCCACAGGCCCGCCTGCCCTCACCGGTACAACTGAAAGTCCTCTTCTGAGAAGACGGTCTGTACTTTATCCCCGAAGTATCTGTGAAACAGAAGACACAACAAACGCTGTGTGCCAAGTCCTTCCCTGTCTCTCTTCTCTGCAGCCCCTTGACATGCCAGCCCTGGCCACACACCTGCCCCCACACTGAGTGTCCATGGGGGCAGGACCAGAGGCGTGACCTGAACACGCTGACGGAGAGCACGGGAACTCAGGGATACGAGAGAGATCCCGGATCACAGATCGCCAACAGGGGTGTCCGGGACACCCTGGCTCACGGGCCCTGGCTGGGGTACCAGCAGGACCCTGGCCCCCGGCCAGGACATCCGCAGCGGCCAGGGCACCCGTGGGACTCCACACAGACCAATGGGGGCACTCACAGGACCCTGGCTCGTGGGACCCCAGCTGTGGCACCCATGGGACCCCGGCACACAGGCCCCTGGCCAGGGCACCCACGGGACCCTGGCTCACAGGAGCCAGTGCCCCTCCCCACCTCCCCTATCCCTTGCCTTGGCCGAGATGGATCCCAGAACCCAACCCTGTCACCCTCCCAGCGCTGTCAGCCCCCACCCCAACCTACTGGAGCCCTCACCTGTACAGGTTCACAAAGTGCTTCCCGACTGACAGGGCCCCCGAGTGCAGGTCCAGGATGGATGCCTGGAAAAGACGCCGGAGAGAAGACGGTGACGCTGGACAGTGTGCCGTGCCCATCCCGCCTCCGGAGTGGGCACCTCTGCTCGGTCCCGAGGAGCAAAGGCCAGACCGTGCCCAGACTGCACCCCCGTGGCTGGACGGTGAGGGGCTCACGTCCCACGACACACCTGGGCCACACACGGTTAGTCGGACACAGGCGTACATGCTGAAGCCTCCACGGCCAGTGCACTGGACTACCCCAGCCCTGGGCACACACTGACACCTGGCACTTCCTGGGATCCAGCTCATGGCAGCAGGCGGGTGGCCTCAGCCTGAGGATGCTGGGACCCGTGAGTGGAGCTGTGGCCCACTCTCAGCCCTGGCCTCAACTTCCCACCCTTGACCACACTCAGCCGGCCAGGCCGTGATCAATGTCCAGAATACGATCTTTCTGGCAAGGGAGCGTCTTGTGGCTGCTTGGCAAGGTTGCCCAAGGCTGGGGACACTTGGCCCACACCACGGATGGGGGCATCCGGGGGACCCTGTACATCCACTCTGAACAATAGCATGGACACCTGGGGCAGGGGCCGCAGGCAACTCACCCCTCCGTTGGATCCTCCCAGCGACAGCCCCTTCTCAGCTATGCTGTGGGGGAAGCGACAGAAGGTCAGCGCCCATGCCCTGCCATTGTCGGTCAGCGCAGCAGTGTGGATGAGCACTCAGGCCCCAGGACGGGACCCTGCGGTGTGGACACGCCCCAGGACGGGACCCTGCGGTGTGGACACGCCCCAGGACAGGACCCTGCGGTGTGGACACGCCCCAGGACAGGACCCTGCGGTGTGGACATGCCCCAGGACAGGACCAGCCTCCTCTGAGTGAGGCCATCAGGAGCTCGTCCCCACAGCGGGGGCGGGACTTCCTCCTCTCCTCTCCTCATCTCTGTCTCACATACTGCTGCACCTGGGGCAACAGGGTGGGGGTCCCCCTCTCATCACCCTGGCTGGGAGGTGGCATGGCCTGCAAGGATACCACAGGTGCCCAAGACCCTCATGGTCTTCCAGCCCCTGCCCAGGACTCTCCTCGGTGGAACGGCCAGGGCAGGGGGCAGCACTGAGGCCGACACCCACAGGGCCCACGTCTCAGACCTGGCATGGACTATGCCCATCCAGCTCCCTGCCTGTGGCCAGGGAAAGCCGTGGGGGACGGCCCAAGCAGCCCCTGGCTCCTGGCTTCAGCCTGGCCCAGCCCCAGCCACTGTGGCCATCTTGGGAATGAACCTGCAGGTGGAGAGCTCTCTGTGGTTCTGAGTTTTAAGTAAACAAATGAATCAACGAATGAAATGAATGAATAATAAATGTGGGAAAAGCCCAAGCCGGCCACGGACGGACAGAGCCGAGACACCTGCGGATGCGCTGTGCCTCCTCCCTGGAGATGACGGTGTCACTGACGCCTCGGCCACACCTCCTGGGGGTGCAACCTAGGGGGCAAAAGGCAGAGTGACCCCAGGTTCAAGGAACCCCACAGCCCAGGTCAGGGGCCAGGCCCTGCACAGGCCAGCGTGGCCACTTCACCCCTCTGTGGGGCATCCTGAACCCCCAGGGCCCCACAGGCCAGCATGGCCACTTCACCCCACTGTGGGACACCCTGAATCCCCAGGGACACAGGTCAGCGTGGCCACTTCACCCCTCTGTGGGGCACCCTGAACCCCAAGGGCCCCACAGGCCAGCATGGCCACTTCACCCCTCTGTGGGGCACCCTGAACTCCCAGGGACACAGGTCAGCGTGGCCACTTCACCCCTCTGTGGGGCACCCTGAACCCCAAGGGCCCCACAGGCCAGCGTGGCCACTTCACCCCTCTGTGGGGCACCCTGAATCCCAAGGGACACAGGTCAGCGTGACCACTTCACCCCACTGTGGGGCACCCTGAATCCCCAGGGACACAGGTCAGCATGGCCACTTCACCCCTCTGTGGGACACCCTGAATCCCCAGGGACACAGGTCAGCGTGGCCACTTCACCCCTCTGTGGGACACCCTGAATCCCCAGGGACACAGGTCAGCATGGCCACTTCACCCCTCTGTGGGGCATCCTGAACCCCAAGGGCTCCACAGGCCAGCGTGACCACTTCACCCCACTGTGGGACACCCTGAATCCCCAGGAACACAGGTCAGCGTGGCCACTTCACCCCACTGTGGGACACCCTGAATCCCCAGGGACACAGGTCAGTGTGGCCACTTCACCCTTCTGTGGGGCACCCTGAACCCCCAGGACACAGGTCAGCGTGGCCACTTCACTCCTCTGTGGGGCACCCTGAACCGCCCCCAGGACCCTCCAGGTCCAGCTCCAGGGTGCCTGTCTGGCCCAGGCTGTGCTTGCTGCCCACTCTGCGGTCAGACTGGACACAAACTCTGAACGACACAGCCAGGAGGCATGAACTCAGGGGCTGACAGTCCGCTGCCGGGAGAAGGCTGGCTGGAGGCTGAGCCGCTGGTCCAGCTCCTGGCTACTCCACTCTGACCAGCTCCAGTAAGGTGCCCTGAGTGTCTGGGGCCCTGCACCGTGTGGGAGACCCGGATGCAGCGCCCAATCCCTGGGGCTACACAGCCCAGCCCCCACCCTGGTGGCTGTCTGGAAAGTGAACCAGTGGATGGAAGATCTCTCCTGTCACACTGCCTTCCTAAATAATAAACGTAGTGTTCCAAACAACAGACGGGCTAAAAGAAAACAGTGGGTGGCTGGTGTGGCAGTGAAGTCCCTGCGCCCGCCACGAGGACACAGAGGATAAGGGGGTACAGGAGGCGCAAGGTGCTCCCCTGGTTCTTTGTGGCAAAGCTGAGCCCGGGGCCCCAAAGAGCCCGCCCATTCCCCGGCGACCTCAGCAGCCGAGGTGGCCCAGGGTGGCCACAGGCCAGAGAACTGCTGGACCCTAAGGGAAATTCGCCCATCACGGCCTTGACCCCAAACTGTCAGAACTGCCAGGGAGCAAGAGGCCCCCAGGGTGTCGCTGGCGCAACAGGGAGGCCGCTGCCCACTGAGCCTGCCCAGGGATTTGGGTTCAGGTCCTGCCGCAGCTGTGGACCCAGCTCTCTGCTAAGGCGTGCTCCGGGAGGCAGCAGGCCACGGCCCACGTGTGTGTGTCCCTGCTACCCATGGGGGAGCCCTGAAAGAACCTTGCCCTGCCCTGCTGCTGTGGGCACCTGGGAGCGAACCAGCAGTAGGAGATTCTCTGCACGTCTTTCTATTTTTCAAATGAAATTAAGATACATTTTTACAAGTTTATTTTTTGGAAAGAGTTAGAGAGAAAGAAAGGGCGAGAGAGATGGAGCGCTCTCACCCACCGGGTCACTCTGCAGGTGTCTACAGCAACCGTGCTGGGCCAGGCCTGCCTCCCTGCCTCCCTGACATTTCTTCCAAATGATAAACATTACAGGAAAAACCTCACTCACTACTCGCCAATCCCTCCTCTTCCAACTTGTGTTGGTAATCGGCATTAGGGGTCTTGCATGCTGGCTCATGTCTGCAGGGGCCGGCTGAGGCCAGGCCTCCCAAGGGCCGCAGGGCCCACCACCTGCTGTGCGCATGTCAACACGGGCAGGAATTGCAGTCGGGAGTGGGGCAGGCTCAGACCCAAGCACAGGCGTGAAGGACACAGCTGTCTCAGCCGCTGGTGGCGCACCTGCTGCCCCGCCTTCGTCTTCAATGCTGACCACCAGGGACTGTGGGGGACGTCGAGGACAGGAGCCCCACGCAGCACGCACGGGTTACCACCCCATTACATGGGACTCGACACCAGCAGCTGGAAAGCCCCCTTTGCTCAGCCACGGCACGGTCTCAGATGGAAAACCTGGTGCAGGTGCTGTCTGGGTTCCAGACATCTGCTAATGGTTCCCCTGTGGTGCCAGCAGCCCACCCTGGGGCGCCAGCTTGAGTCCTGGCTGCTCCACGTCCCATCCCGCTCCCTGTTGTGGCCTGAGAAAGGCGGAGGATGGCCCAGGTGGTTGGGAGCCTGCACCGGCATGGAGACCCCGAAGAAACTCCTGGCTCCTGGCAGCTCAGCCCTGGCTGCTGCGGTCATCTGGGGGAGTGAAACAGCCAACTGGACATCCCTCTCTGCATCTCTCCTTCTCTTTGTGTAACTCTGCCTTTAAAAAAAATGTGAACATGTCCAGACGGCATAGAGCATCCTGGAAAACAGCACCAGTGGTGAGGAAGGGTCCAGGCTGGGGGCAGCCCTGAAGGCTCTGTGTGTCCAGGGTGCTGAGCCTTCACTGGCAGCTCCGCCCGTTCCCTGCCCCCCACAGGTGGTCCACAGGAGCCAGATGGGGACAGTGCCTTCCCTGGTTCCACTATGTCCCAGGTGCCTGCCAACACCTGTGTCACCCCCAGCCCAGGCTGGGTACCTTCAAACCTCTGGTGGCCGTCGTAGTCCTCGGAACAGGGCACCTCGATGAACCTGCGGGCCACGACCTCCCCACGGCGGGCCAGGACTCCGCTGATCCCGTCGTCGGCCCCCAGGCTGCTCCACAGCAGCAAGGTGGCCACTGCCACGATGGCCGCCAGGCCTGTGGCCTGCAGCCATACCCTGGACCCCTTCTGCGGGGCTCGGTCCTTCCTGGAGCTGGCAACAGGAAACAGCCGTGGTCAGACGCAGGGTCCTGGCCATGCCCCAGCTCACCTCCATCTCGGGGACTCCGCCAGCCACAGCCAGCCCTCCTCTGTGCACACAGCACCCACTTCCAGCTCGCTCCCTTGCCAGCAGCTGCCCTGGCTTGCACCCCGAGGCCAGCACGGACACACTGGGAAGAGGGACCGCCTTAGGGCTCCAGGGGCTGCACAGGGGCTGGGAAGGGTGGCAGTGGCAGAGAAACCCGCTGGTCACAGCCTCTGGCAGCGTGGGATCTGGGGCCGGTGCCAAGCCTGTGCAAGAGGGGCTTCCTCACGTGCCCGGCTGAGCCCCCATCAACCCGAGGGGTTGGACTCAAGGGCCACTGCGCCCCTCCAGCTCCGCGCCCCACGTTGTCCGAGAGAGGCGGGGGAGCGGGTCCTGGGACCAAAGGGAGACCAGTCCTCCCCGAGGGAGGCCCGGCCGGGGTGTTTGCGGACCTCGGAGGGAGCGCCTGCCTGCAGCCAGTGCGCGCGGGGAGGGGCTCGCCAGGGCCCCGCCCACCCACCGGAGCGCCACGCCCACCCAGGCCTTGCCCCGCCCCCGCAAAGTCCCGCTCAAAGCAGGGGAAGCCACGCCCATCCAAGCCCGGCCCCGCCCCCACGGGCATGTCCCGCCCGCGGGCTCCGCGATCCCCGCTACCTGCTGGGGCGCCGGCGCTCAGCCTCGGCGCGGCCCTCGGGGGCTTTAGGCGCGGCCCTCCGCTGAGGGGCCATCGGGCGAGGCGGCGCAGAGCCAGGAGCACGCGGAAGCCGCCGGGCGCACGCGGAAGCCGCCGAGAGCGTGCGGAAACCGCCGAGAGCGTGCGGAAACCGCCGAGCGCTCACGGAATCCTCCGAGCGCGCACGGAAACCGCCGAGCGGACGCGGGGACCAGCGAGCGCAAGCGGAAACCACCGAGTCCGCCCCTCCGGCCCGGCCCCGCCCTTCAAGCCTCTCCAGCAAATCCCCGCCTTCAAGCGCCCGCAGCCCCTGACGTCAGCGCGCTGCTCGCGTGGCCCCGCCCCCGCGTGGCGGCCAGCCGCCATAACGGTCGCCGGTCCAGCGGGTGGCTTGTGGGCGGGCTGGCCTGGGGCTGAGGGCGGGACGCGCCGGGCGCCGCGAGTGCTGCTGCCGCCGCTGCCGCCGCCCGCGCTCTCCCCCGGGGCCTCCGTGCGCTGCCGCGCTCCCCGCCCGTGTGACTGGTCCTTGTCCGAGGGCGCAGACGGGCAGGGCCAGCCGGGAGCCTCCCCCGGCATCTCCGGGGCGCACCTTGGGCCCGGGGCCTGAAGGGGCCGCTGGACCCCGGGCACGGCCTCTGCGTGCCTCTGTGAGCCCCTCCAGGCAGGGCTCACGCCCGCCCGCCCACTTGGCTCGCCTGGCCTCACCAGTGGCTGTGTGCTTGTCCAGCTAGCAGGGACGGTTGACTTTCCTTTGGTCTCACACAGAAGGCCCCCGTATAGGGACCATGACCAGTGAGGGGGCCGGGTGCCCACAGGAAGTGTGTTCTGAGCACCTGACTCCCAGGGCATGGTCAGGTGCGAACCCGGGGTCTGAGGGGAGCTGCCAGGTACAGATGCCAAGAGGGCTCCAGGACAGCGGGGGCACAGGCCGCTTGTCGCGGCAGGTGGCCCTCTCCCTGGCCAGGAATCCTGTGTTCCCGTGCTATCCCCAGAAGGCTTGTAGCCCACTTCCAGGTACAAAGGCTCCTGGAGTTGGGGGGTAATTCCTCCGGGACTGAGACCCTCTGAGTCTGTGGGTGTCCGGTAGTTGACGGACGAGCACCGTGATTTCAAAATAAGGACGTAAATGCAGATTATTCACTTAGAGGGATTGGGCAAGGATTTTCCCAGGAAAATCCAGTTTCTATAAAAGTATTTCTCACCCAAATTGTCACAGCAAGAGGCTTGGCAGCTTTGCACAGGATGCGTTGCCCCACGTTGAGCAAGTAACGTCCCACGCGCTCTGTGCACAGCTGCCGTCTTGGAGCTGCAGGGTCCCCTTGGAGTAACCGCTCTTAAGCCCTCTGTTGCTCTCCTTTCCCAGGCCTTCAGCCTTACCCAGGGATCTGCCTGCCTCTCTCCTCATCTCACACTGCAGGTACCTGTGAAGCCGGGAAGGGCTGGGAGGCTGCAGAGGGAAAACACGCTCCAGTACATGCGGTCACCAGATGTCTTCTGTTAGGACCGTGAGCCATTCAAGTCCCATCCTGACTCCCGAGTGCCAGTGGCTGGTGCAGTCTAGCCCAGCCCGGCCCTCCCCAGACCCAGGCCACATCCATGCTGAGGGAGATTGTAGCCATGTTCAGCCCAGGACAATGCACCAGTTCTGGCCCTCACATTCACCAGTGGGAAGCCCAGCCCAGCCAGGGCATCCCCTTAGCTCCCCGCCAGGCCTGTTCCCAACCACAGACCTTGCGTGTGCCAATGGCGATTGCTCTTCCACAGGGGTGAGCCCACGTGTTGCCCTGCAGATTCTACTCCCAGGCCTGGTTCACTCGCGTATTTGTCGACATCACGGCCCAACCTACAGAACCCGTTCCCTTCGCTGATGCTCTCTGGTAGGTTCCATGTTGCAGCCCTTCAGGTAGAATGACCTTGTCCATGGACGTTCCAGAGAAGTCATTCCTCACCTGGACATGAACCCTAAGGTCCCTGCTCATCCCCACCTGTGTCATCTCCCAGACTCCCTATGAGCCCACACCCCAAGTTCCCAGAGTGCATTGAAGGGTGGTCTGCGAGCTTCGCCGGGCACCGTTGGCACCTGGGCCACAATTCTGGATTGAAAAGCCAGCTGAATATCAAAACCCTAAACTGTGACTTCAGTCAGGTTTGGATGCTGCGTCTGAACCAGCTCTGCCTGTGGAAGTGTCACCTCAGGGACAGCTGGAGGTGGTGTTTTGGCATTCCTTGGGGCTGTAGAATGTTCGACCTCCACAGCAGGACTCGGGTTTAGATGCTGAGTCAGAACTGTGTCTGGACTCGTTCCTGTAGGCTCTTTCAGGGCAGTTGCATGCTCAGCCTCTGCAGTGGGTCTGGATTATTGGTAGGTGGTAGGTTCAAGGTCTGATCTGTGACACTGGGTGTCACTGGAGGTTGAGGTGGAGTTGGCATTGGAGCTCCCACCTCTGTAGATGGCTCTGTAAGCTGCACAGGGGTCTCCTGAGTGGTTGGAGCCTGGTCAACCTCTGTATTGGGTTCGGGAGTTGGGGTATTTCCCAGGTCCCAGTGTGCAACTGCGACCTTGGGCAGGGCTGCATGGTGAGTCTGGACCTGGTCTGGGTGTGAAATCTCAGAGTCCAGAGGTGCTGTGGTCTTCAGGGCTGTAGAATGTTCAGCCTCCACACTGGGTCCTGGAGTTATGGTCAGCTGCAGCTTCAAAGGCTGAAAGGTGACCCTGGTAATATTAGATACAGAGCCTGTTCCTGAGCTGGTTTGGGGACTGTTGCCTCCTCATCTACCTGCAATGGAGGTACAGATTCTTGAAGTGGCTCTGGAGGTTGGGTTAGGGGCTCCGAAGAAAGGACAGCCTCTGTAGCAGGAGGTGGAGTCAGGTAATACACTTGGGGTTGGGTTTTGGAACCCACAGTCATTTCCGGATGTTGAGCTGAGACTTTCAGCCGTGGTGGAGACGGAAGGGTGATCGGAAGGGCCTCCAGGGGTTCAGCTTCAGATTCCCATTCTGTAGGGATAGGCTCTATCTCCTTAGGGGAAGCTGCAGTCTCATCCATGGCCTCTGGCTCAGCTGCAGAAGGTAAGGCTGGGTAAGCCTCAACCTCTGAAGGGGAAGTGAAGGTGACCTCAGGATCTACTGATTTATCCATACTTGTGGAAAATGTTGAGTGGTCACCTCCTTTCAGGAGTGTCAGGTCCAGCTCAGTGTTCCCCGAGGCCTGAGCTGCAACTTCTTGTTGGCTTGAAGTTATACCCTCGGCCATGGTCTCTGCAGGGTTAACAGACACACTCGGCAATGTTGCAGACTGACCTTCATGAGGAACTGTCGCCTCATGAGACTGCAGGTGGAGATTTCACTTCTTCGGTCTCCGACACCGGAGCTGGGGCTTCCTGCTGGGCTGGAGACAGTCTGATTTCCTCAGATGAGGGCTCCTCTTCCTGAGGTACCACCTCCGGCGAAGGCATAGACTCAACCTCTTCAAAAGCTTCTGGAGGCGCAGCTGGGGCCTCAGGCTGAGCTTCAGCATTGTGCTTTATTGGCAAGCCATCTTCTGCATTTGCTTGCATTGTGATGGTATTCTGCAAATGTGCAGGTTTAGCAGCCATACTGGGCAAGTCCGTGTGTTGTTGCCAGTGGTGGCGAGCTGAAGCTACGAATATTTCCTCCTGGTGCTTTGGAGGCTGAACTGTGTCTTCTTCAGGCAGGCTTTTAGAAGATTCACCAGGTCCAGTGGACTCAGATGGCTGAGCAAACTGTTCCTGCTAGCCTGGAGAAGGTTCTGCCTCCACTGAAGGCTCAGCATCCTGAGTTGGCTGCTCCAGCTGGGTGGGAGGAGATGTGACCTCCACAGAAGGACGTGGAGTCTGAGCTGGGGTCACCTGGTGGCCTGGAAAAGATTCTGTTCCCACAGATGGGCCTGGAGCAGGAGGAATTGGGGCCTCTTGTGGGATTGAGGGAGGGGATTCCTCTTCCAAGATCCCCGCATCCTGAACTGGGGCCTGCAGCTGGCCCTGAGTATTTTCAGTTTCATCTGGTTGTATCATGATCGAACGTGTCACATCTATAGGTATCTGTGTGATGCTGGACAAGGTTGAAGGCAGCGGTGGACGTGGAACATGGATCTCATTATTTGTGAGCTGCTGGACCTCCACTGAAGGCTCTGCACCCGGAGCCTGCTCCTCCCGCTTGCTGGCAGAAGGCTCTGAGCACACAGAAGCACCTGGACTGTGAGCTGGGGCCACCTGCTGGCCTAGGGAAGGCTCCCCCTCCACTGAAGGCTCTGCACCCGGAGCCTGCTCCTCCCGCCTGCTGGCAGAATTCTCTGTATCTACAGGAGGGCCAGGAGTCTGAGCTGGAGCCTCTTGTGGGTTTGAGGGAGGGGATTCCTCTTCCAAGATCCCCCAGACTGAACTGGGGCCTGCAGCTGGCCCTGAGTACCTTGAATTTCATCTGGTTGTATTGTGATCGAAAGCGTCACATCTATAGGTATCTCTGTGATGCTGGACAAGGTTGAAGGCAGCAGTGGACCTGGAACATTGATTTCGCTCTGCACAAGCTGCCGGACAGCTTCCTCAGCAGCAGAGATCTGAATTGGAGACCCCTGCAGCACTGGAGAAGGTGTAGTCTCCTTGAGAGGCTGTGGAACCTGGGCCAGGCCTTCTTTCTGGAGCAAAGAGAGCTGGCCCTGCTCAAGAGTCTCGGGGCTTTGAGGAATGTCCTCCGGCTGCAGCTCAGATGGTTCTGCTGCATCAAAGGGCTCCAGGAGCTCACCTGAGTGCTCCTCCAATTTGACGGCATCTAGAATATTTGTCGACCCCAGGTTGTCAAAGCCACTGGGGTCTGTATGGGGTGTCACTGCTCTCTAACAGATCCTTAATCACACCCACCATCATGCTCCATTTGAGCCGGAAGATCTGATTTAGATCCTATGCCATCACCCACCCAGCCTAGGGGCATGGTGGGAGGGACCCGGCACTTTCTCCAAGGTGGTGCCCAGGGTTGTCAAAGCAGCAGGGAAGTGACACTGACGAAGGACTCCCCCTGGTCACCAGGTGGATGGGGGGCCATGCGGAAACAGACACCTGCCACGAGACTGGAACCTGCGTGAGACTGCCCTGACCCGCCTGCAGAGCCTTTCATCTGCCTTGCTTACTGCCCTGACTGAATGGGCAAATGGTGGCTTGTGATCTTCAATCTCATTCATATGTGGTTTTTGATATGTGACTGCTTAAACTCTTCCTATGTTGAGATGGGCTCCCCGGGGTCTGAAAGTCAGAATGTATGTCAAAGGCTATTTCTCCTGCTTGGCTATTTGGAGTGTATGCAAAGTATTGTCCAGGTGTGAGAGGATGCTAACTTTAAGTGCTATTAATATGGAAGAGTTAATTCAAATGTCCTAGAAATTATACAAACCAAAGTTTGATGATCCAGTTATGTTGTTATCACTCATGATAATTATCTTGATAAGAAGGTAGCCCCAATCCTAGAGGGACAAAAGGTTTATCAAAATGCTTCAGATGTATTTCAAAATGGTACATGGGATGAGCAGAAATGGCTTTCCTTACAAATGTAATGAGTTTTATCATTTTAGCCAGGGTTATCGGAAGTCTTTTGTTATCCATAGCTCTGTATTCTTCTCTAAAACATTTGTAGCTGGATTTATGGGGAATACTTTAACCAGTGTTCTTTAATACTGGTTTCTGACAGTTTTAAGGTTAGGCGACTGAGAAGAAATTCCAGAACTCCCAAAAATGAAAAAACAAAAATGATGAAATCCATAGAACTGGTATTAGAGAACAAACAAATAGCTACGTAAAATTGAATGGGCGGGACAGTGCAGTTAGCAACGCTAAGATGCTTTGTAACTAATGTGTGTGCTGTCGGGAGTTCCAGGAGAGGCGAGGCCTGGCAGAGGTGGAATGAGGGCAGAAGAGCCAGGCAGAGGTCGATGTCTGCAGCTTTGTGTGTCCAGGTTACTGGATGCATGTCTCTTGGGATAACTTGTATTGTTGGGGAAGCTGGGACGTAGGTCTTCAGCTTCACACATGGATTTCAGGGTAATGACCATTTGTTCCTCTTGGGGTTACGATTGATTGCATTGCCGTATGGACTTGTGATTTGCTATTTCTAGTGGACCCTGTTATCACCAAGCTTGGTTAATGTAAACGCCTTAATCTGGCGTGAGCTCGCTCGCACCCTACAATCCCTGCTGAGCCTTCTTTACTGACGGTGTGCGGGTGAACGCTGTTCACCGGAGCCGAGGCAGGCTTTGTCATTTCTCATAGAACTCCCTGTCTCACCACGACTGGAAAGCCTGTGTCCGCCTGAGCCGGTCACTGTGCTTTTGAATGTTTGTGAGCCTGAGAGTATTATGTTACCTGTGCACACGGCTGAGCGAGGACTGGAACACCATAGTTTTTAGGCTTGCTAACCTTGAGCTCTGATTGTTGTATGGTTAGTTAATTATGCTACACCTATATGAATAATCAGTTATAATATGTCTCCTATTAGACTGAAAGCCTGTTCATTGTTTACTGATACAAACTTTGTTATGTTTTCATTAGGTTTTAATTTCTGTTGGAAGTTTGTGCCAATTGCCTGTCAGAATCACACAGGACAAGTGCTAGCAGGGAAACGCTGGCCTGGCACTCTCAGAGTGATCTCTTATGTCACAGCCGTGCCTCACGGGCCCGGGGACTCAGCCTGCCTCACGGGCCCTGGGCCTCAGCCTGCCTCACGGGCCCGGGGACTCAGCCTGCCTCACGGGCCCTGGGACTCAGCCTGCCTCACGGGCCCTGGGCCTCAGCCGTGCCTCACGGGCCCGGGGACTCAGCCGTGCCTCACGGGCCCGGGGACTCAGCCGTGCCTCACGGGCCCTGGACTCATTTACCTGGGCCACAGTGAGCACACCTACAGGCTGATTCCTAGATTAGTAGGCCAAGTACACTTGCACTGGGAGCGACCATAGCTCCCTTCCCGGAGGGAGGGGCCGTGCCACACCAGCACTGTGCCGGGGCAGCTGAGGCCGGCTGCTTCCCTTCCTCACCCTCTGTGCAGCCTTGGGGTGCAAGGTGGAGCACGTCTGTCCAGCAGGAAGGCCTCAGGCCCAGCAGGACACATGGTCACATTTATTTGGGACCCAGCAGCCTTTGTCAGGAAGGAAGGCCCAGTGCCCCCCCCCAAGGGATCTCATCTGGGTTTGTGCTCCCACATCTGGATAGAAGGGTGTGGTGGCGTCCAAGGCCGCCTAGTCTGACTCTCTGTGCTGCCATCTTTCTTGGGTACCCTGGTACTCACCTTGGGGAGAGGGACTGCTAGCTTCCAGGCCTTGCCTTGGGGCAGGAGGGCAGGAGCGGCCTGAGGCCTGCTTCCCGGCCAGCCACTCTGCTCTTGTTCTGCATGCCCACGCTGTTCTTTGGGAGGTGTCCTGTCGTGGGCCCCAATGCCTGCTCTCAGAATGCCTCTCCTTCTACCTGGCTCTGTGCCAAGATGGCACCACATACCTTTCATCACTGTCGCCGTTCTCCAAACCTACGTGTCTGGACCAGGCAGTCCAGCAGGTGGCCCTCCATGTCCCTGTGTGCCCAGAACTTCCATCTCCGCCGAGTGGAGGGACGGAGCCCCAGGAAGCCACAGGCAGTGCCATTCAGGAGCGTGGGCCTGGTCACAGGCCAGGGAGGCTGGCTCCAGCTGCCAAGTTTCCATTTTTCTGTCTCCAGATCTCAGAGGAGACTCTCCCCACCCGCAGCCCCCTGGCAGTGGGCAGCCCCTGCCTCCATCCCCCTGGCAGTGGGCAGCCCCTGCCTCCATCCCCCTGGCAGTGGGCAGCCCCTGTCTCCATCCCCCTGGCAATGGGCAGCCCCTGTCTCCATACCCCTGGCAGGGGCAGCCCCTGTCTCCATCCCCCTGGCAGTGGGCAGCCCCTGTTTCCATCCCCCTGGCAGTGGGCCACCACCATCTGAGCCGATCCCAAGCTTTGACACTGCAATTCTGGAACGTGCAGTGCCAGTCTCAGTCCCTTGGGGGAGGCGGTGAGCTGGGCTGGGCTGGACAGGCCAGCCTGAAATAGCTGGGAAAGGCAGTCTGAATGGGTGGCAGAGGGCCACTGTGTGACAGGCTGTGCCTGCCGGGAACCCGGGTCGGGGCTTCTAACCAAGGTCACGCTGCTGTTTCCAGCCTGCCAGCAGCGGGGTGGGGCGGGTGCAGAGTGGGCTCTCTCCAGCAGAACCTTGGAGATGGCTGCCTGCCCATGGGGCGTCCATGGTTTCATGTGCCCCAGAAAACCACATCTAGGAACAAGTGGTGTTTCGTTTGGGAAATTTTGGGAAGGCTCCAGGGAGCCCAAGGGGAGAGCAAGGCTTTGTGTTCCTGACTGGCTTTGACCCCTGACTCGTCACGATGGCACTGCTGTTTGGTTTGAGCTTGTGTTAGCACAGGGAGGCAGCTGCCAACAGGAACTTACTTGTGCCAGGGCTGCTTACGGCTGGAAATGAAGTTGCCCACAAGATACCAGCTGCTTGCCACATTCCCATGTCCTGCTGCAGTGTTGAAGGAGGTGAGGCTGCAAGCTGGCATGGCACTGGGGGCTGGCGTGCTCGCCGTTGGCTGCTGCCAGTCACTTCCTGCACTGAGGCCCGTGCGTGCCAGCCCGAGTGGCATGTGGGCTGTGGAGGTGTCCCTGGGCTGGAACTGGCTGCCAGGTACCCTCTGCAGAGCCTCCCTGGCTTCGCTCCCTTTGCTGCAGGTGATGGCTCCTCTTGACACCCAGAAAAGGAGCAGTACCTCTGATCTGCCAGGACATGCAGCGAGGCAGCGTTAGTCCGTGGGTGAGCCACAACATTCTAGAACTTAGTAGCTTTCTTTTGCTAATTGTGCAAGAAGCTGCAGGCTTATAATCATCCAAAATCTTCCAAATTCCAAAGGTTCTGGGGGCTGGGCCTGGTGTTGTGGCACAGTGTGCAAGGCTGCCATCCATGTGGGCGAGCCGGATGACGCCCTGGATGTGCGCCAGGCTCGGTCCACCCACCGGGGCCATCTGGGGACCAGCTGAGAGCCTCTGGGCGTGACATCCATACCCTTCTCTGTATGCACTTGGCCTGTGGGTTTCTACAGGATGACCCTGGGCCTCTCTGCTTTGTGGATGAGGACAGTCGGCCACCCTGGAGAGGACAGCTCTGATCCGAGAGCCCAGAGCTGCACTCAGCCCCAAGGGCATCCTGCCACAGAGGCTGCCTGAGGACACGGACCAGGGCCCTGGCCACTGGGGACACTTCCTTGCTCCTTACGGGAACCAAGACCAGATTATCTCGGGAGCCTTCCTGCACGTCAGTGCTACCAAGCCTTCGCGACATGGGCAGGGTGGGGGGTGTTCCCAGGAGACAACCCTTCTGGGTGATGGGGCTGGGACGTGCCTGGGAATGGAGAGGGACTCGGGGTCTGTTCAGAACAGGCTTGCAGGAGGTGGGGTTGACACCAGGTCTCTGTCCACAGCCTGCTGCCTACCCTGACCCAATCCCCCAGGTTAGGGTTGAGGGGTCCCTCCTAACCTTGGCATCTGAACAAAGCAGCAAATCGCAATGCAGGCCCTCAGTCAAGCACCCTCTTGTGCGGGGCCTGGGTTTGCCTCTGGGTCCCAGTCCCTAGGCTGAGCCCTGGGAACTGGTGAGTGTCCAGTCTGCCATTCTGCCGATGGAGCCCATGAGGCTGGCCGCAGCGGCTGCCCGGGCCCCTGGAAGCCCTAGCCTCACTCCCTCCCAAGTAAGCCAGCACTCAGCCTTCCTTGCTCTCGGCCCTGGGCTCCCAGCCACCTCCACATCTGGGCACCCAAAAGTGCCCCTGGGCAGCCCTACCAGCCCGCCCGGGGGAGGGGGTTGTGGGAGGTGCCCGCCTGTACCGCCAGCGGCCGATCGGGCACACACACAGTTAATCCTGGGAGGCTGCTGTTTTCCGGGGCTTCCCTGGCCGCTCACATCTGGCTGGGTTTGCTCCTTGCGCGTCAGTCCTGCTCGCTCCGGCTCTTCCTTTACTTTCGAGAAACCGCGTTTCCGCTTCTGGCCAAAGCGACCAAGCCGCGCAGGAGAGAAAGGCACCGGCCGGCCTCCAGCTCGCACCTCCCTGCCTTCCCGGCCGGCCTCCGGCTCCCTCCTAGGAGAACTCACTCCCTCTGCTCAGTCTCCTTGACAAGTCCGTGCTTCCCTGCACCCCGCCCTGGCCACGGGGGAGCCGAGAGCCACGGAGATGCTCTGAGAGGCAGCCAGGGGAGAGGCCGTGGAGCTGGACAGAGGTAGGTGGCCGGCGGCTGGCCGGGGCCCGGAGGGGCCAGCACGGCGCTGGCTTGTGCCTTCGTGGCTTTATGCTGGCAGAGCTGGGCCGACACCTTGACCAGGAAGTGGCGAGCTGAGTGCGGGGGGCGGGTTGGGGGCTGTGGGGAAGGGGCACGGGCAGCAGCTCTTTGCGGAAGAGCCGGCTTGTCCGCCCGCGCACAGCCTGGCTGCACAGCATCCTGGCGCGGAGGGGACGGGCTGTGCTGCCCGCTGCTGGAAGAGCTGACCCCCTCCTCTTCCCTGGGCTGTTTATGCGGCCTTCACCTTGCCCTGGAGCTTTACGTCTGCCACTGCACTTTCGGACTGCCCTGTCCTGGACCAGCCTCGGGCTGGCTCTGTCCAGGGCTGTTGGTGGCTGGCTGGAACCCTGCCCGGTGCGGGGTGCTCTCACTTTGGCCCCTGAATCGGACAGCCCTGGTGTTCCTGGAGGGACTCCAGCATGGGCAGGAAAAAACAATGGCGGTCCCTGGGGGCCCTCCGGGGAAGCAAAGTGGACAGGGTCTGGGGCTGAGGTCGCTGAGCTGCCGTGGAGCCCCTGGACGTGCAGGTCTGCCCGCTTCCCAGGCACCTGCACAGGCACGGTCATGGGCTTACCTGGGCTTCTCCTGAGGGCCTCCTGTGGGCTCTTGCACCCTCTCCCTGCTTCACCAGGTTGCTTGGGATCTGCTTCTCTCGCTGGCACGTTACTACTCTGTCTGAATGGAGGCCCCAGGCCAGGTCGGGCACCTTCCGCTTCCCTGTTTGGAAAAGGAGACTTATCTGAGGAATCGCTGCCCAGTCCCTAGGGCCAGCGCGTGGTCACTTAGAGGTACCGCACTTCCACTAGCCAGTGCAGGGAAGTGCCCTCCCGCCTGCTGCCTGCCCCCTGCAGACAATCCAGGGAGCTGAGAACAAGTGGGGACTCCCCGCTCTCAGCCTCCCAGACCCCTAGAACTGAGGCTGCTTAGAGGTGAGCCAGCAGTGTGACCGCAGTGACAAGGCCAGGCAGAATGGCAGCTGGGGGTCCTGCATGGAAGCCCCCCAGCCGAGGCGCCTCCTCAACCCTCCATGTGTGCAGACACCATCCATGGAGGGTTCATGGCGTCCCGGGGCTGGGGGATAGAGGGACCCTGTTCGCAAAGCCAGGTCTTCACCAGGCCTCACCCGTACAGCTCCCCACCAGGCTCAGGGACGCTCTGAGGGTGCCAGGGTGGGGGCAGGGCCACGTTCCTCTCTTCACTTGCCCCTGCCCAGGAGATGCTGGCCCGAGGAGGCGGGCTGGTGCTGCCGCTGGGGGAGTGCGTGCAGGCAGCTCCCTGCTCATTCCTGGCAGCCTACCCCGCTCCCCCCGTCCCCATGACAAATGCCAGCTCAACATGATTCCTCTGGAACATACCTCTGTTGTTGTTCCTGGTGCCCGCCCCCCCCCCCGGGCAGCTGTAATTGGCATGACTCATAAACCAAATATTCTGGCCTCGAACTTCACTCATCAAAACAAAGATGAAAGAATTTGGTAGATACACTCCTGCTGTGGGCACCTTCTGTGGCTGCTGTGTGTGTGTGTGAGTGTGGCATCCTCAGGGCACAGCCCTCCCTGGTGGTGGAGGTTCCCTGTCATGGTGGGCCCATCTGAGGCCCACCCTGCCTGGCCATGCACAGCTCCTGAGCGAGAGAAAGCCACCCTCTTGGAAGTAGCTGAGAACCCTCTGTGTTTTGGGGGGACAGACTTCATGCCTCATTCCCACTGCCCTGGGGGCTTCACTGTGGCTTCGGCTAAGTGAATTAGACACGGTTTTCCCTGCTGAAAGCCACCTTTTGCCAGTGGCCAGGGACAGCAGGCAGCCCTCGGGACAGGACCTGCCCCCGGCTCCGCCCCTTTCATGCAGTGTGGGAAAAAATAACGTTACCCGAATGTTCTCTTCCAGGCTCTCCGGGGGCTGCAGCCTGCCTGTGTCAGCAGTGTGGGTCCCCAGGGTGCTGCCAGGGTCGGGCGCAGTGCCCAGGGCCAGCGGGGCCAGCTCTGAGCTTCAGTTTGGAAGACTCACTCTTCTGCCTCCCAAGCTTGTGCAGCCCCCTTAGTGGGGCGTGGGGTGTGAGCAGGTCGTGGTCTAGAACCCTCTGGGTGCTGGTCAAGGTCTCAGCTGGGGGATGTTGGTGCGTGGGTCTCCAAGGGCACTGTCCCCATGAGGGCACTGTCCCGTCATGCCCGTGCCTGGGGGGTCAAACCAGACTCAAAACCTGACAATTGCAGGACCGCACACAGGCCGCCCAGCCCTGCAGGTCCCTCCGGGGACCCTGTTGGGACAGCCTTGGGTTGGGCTGGGTCTCCAGTCCGGCCATCTCCCTGGCTCCTGGAAGGATCTTCCCTGAAATGAGGAGAGAGAGTGGCAGACACAGGCAGGGAGGCAGGAGCCCGGTTGGTAGAGGTGTGTGGGGATGAGAAAATTCCAGGCGGTGGGGTAGGGAAGGGCCCAGTGCCCAATGCTTTGTGCCAATCCAATGCTGCTCTTGGCCACAGCTAAAGCCACATCTGCCAGGCTGCCTCATAGGGCTCTGTGTCCCTTCCCAGTGGGACATCAGGACACCAGCCGCCCTCTTCCCCAGGGCCAGGGAAGCTGCCAGACCTGGCTGGCTTAATGCTGATGCAAGCCGGAAGACAGGCAGACCCCAGGTGGCTGGGGGTGGCTGAGGGCCTGGCCCTCCTGACACTTGGGGAAGCCCACTGACCCCTGCAGATGTGCCTGAGGGGGCAAGGCTCATTCATCCCATGCGAGACTGTAGGGGGCGAGGGCAGAGCTCACTGTTGGTGCCCAGTGGCCCGTTTGGTGGTACCCACACCGGGACATGGGCGGTCAGCTTCACCCCTTGCTGCTGGAGCCCGGGGCGGTTTCTGGCCTGCAAGGCTTAGGAGATGGGAGGGACCTTCCAGTGTCCCCAGAGGGTGCGGCCACCTCTCCTCTCTGCAGAAAGCCTGCCCTTTGGACGCCCCCGCACCCTGCCACTGGCGGTCATGCTGCCTGCACCTGCATTTGAAGCTGTGAGGCATCTTCTAAGAGTGACCCCGAGCCTCAACCCCAAGGGATGGGGCCAGGGCAGCTGTGAAGTGCTGGTGTCCTGGCCCACGGAGCCCTTGGTCCTGACAGTGCTACTGACCAAGTTGTCCGGCATCCAGCAGGTACTGGTCCCCATGGGGAATGAATGCTTGCAAGGTGCCCAGGTCTGTTTCTGTCGGGATCTCAGACTCCTGAGCTAGGGCCACTTATGCGAAGGGATATCCCTTGGCTGCAGGTCCTCGAGGTGCAAAGCTGCTAGGCCGCTGCAGCCGGGGGCAGCCTCAGGCTGCTGCAATGCGTGACGGCAGGGGAAGGGCCAGGGCTCATGGGGCAGAGGGGAGGGGACTGGACCCCTGCAATGACTCAACGGTGCTCACCAGGAAGGCAGCCCTGACACCTGCCGCTGCGGCCTGCTTCCCAGCACCACCACAGTGCTGGTTACACTTTAGCGTGAGTTTGAGGGGGTGGGTACCTTGGCAAGGTGGGTTCTAGGTCTCAGCCCCATCTCCTACAGTTCTACAGGCATGGGTGCCAGCCCTGCCTGGGGAAGCCAGGACCACTGGTGGGGCTGAACACAGGAAAAACAAATGCCCCCAAAGCTGCCCTTTGTAGCTGTAACTAGTTCTAGACCTGGCCAAGGTTCCGGGGGCTGCACAACTCCCTAGTGCCAGGCCGAGCTCCACGGCCGGCGGTGGGAGGTACAGCAGATCCAGATGAGGGGAGAGGGGCTTGCAGGAGAGTTACTGAGCATGGTGGACGAAGCCCAACAAGAAGCTGGGCTTCTTGTCGGGGGGAGGTTGGGTACCAGTGGACAGGCCATGCTGCAGGTGGTCAGTACTGGCAGGTGTGGTCTTTTAAAAGATGCACTGAAACAAAGAGAGGTTCCACCTGCTGGTTCACTTCCCAGTAGCCACAGCAGCTCGGCAGGGTTCCCACTCAGGCCTCCCACGTGTGTGCAGGGACCCGAGCACTGGGCCATCCTCTGCTGCTTTCCCAGGTGCCTTAGCAGGCAGCTGGATGGGAAGTGGAGTATCGGATTCAAGCTCTTATGGGATACCAGCACCGCAGGTGGAGGCTTAACATGCTGTGCCCTGTGCTGGTCTCTGAGCGGGCACACTCATGATGGAGGAAGGCAGCAGGGAGCTTGCTGCCACAGTGTCATGGGCAAGCTCGCACGGAGCAGGAGGACAGCCTACTGTGGGCTGAGGTAAACTAGACCTGGAAGCTCTGGCTGGGGACAGAGCTGTGGCACAGGCCTTGCCTCCTAGGAGATGCCTGTAGGGCCAGACGGCAGAGCAAGTTCCCCAGAAAGAGCTGGTGCGGAGGGGCAAGGTGGGGTGTGGGGAGCAGGACCCCAGGTTCCCTCCTCCCTTTGCCTTAGGAGCTGGCTGTTCCTGAGAGTGGGTGTCCAACATGACCGGTGCCACCAGTGCTAGGAAGCGGGCACTGGGCCAGGCCACCTGCTGAGCTGCGGTGCCTCTGCCTGCACTCAGGGCTCTGAAAGCCGCCGCGCCCGCCTCTGAGGCTGCCCAGCTGGGGGGTGAGCTGAGGACAGCTGCCCGGCTCAAGGAGAGCTTTGTTACCACTGTTACCCTCTGCAGGCTGGGCTGGCCAGGTGCCCCTGAGGCCAAGCCTGGTGGCCCACAGGGCCCCTGTGTGCAGACACTAGGGCCGGCCCGTGCCCTGTTCCAGGCAGTGGCGTCCTCATCCAAGGAGCCCAGAACAGGGCAATGGCCTCGCTTCTCTTCCACGTCCAGGCACAAGGGAACCCTGTTTGTGAAGCATGTGAGTGGTACCCGGGGAACCTGGCTTGCTCCCCAGAGCCCAGCTTCAGAGGGTCCCAAGTTGCCTGCCGCCTCACAGGACAGACTTACGGAAGGCAGAGACAGTCCCCTGCCGGGCCGGGCTTCCTGGGGATTCTCGGAAAAGCTTGAGGTGACATCCGGGCCTTGGATATGTTCTGCAGAGTTTTGGGTGGAGCGGGTAGGGAGGCTGTCAGGGCCCCTGGAAAGAGCCTGAAGGCCGTGGGGGCGGAGCGAGCCGATGCCGGGGCACTGTCCTGGCCAGCTGGGAGGATCCGATGCAGCAGGTACACGGGAGGACGGGGGCCCAGTCACCTCCAGGCTGTGTATTCAGGTCCCCATTTCTGGCCCCCTGACCGAGTCCGACCCAGAACAGACCGGGTGCCATCAGCTATGCGTGGCCATCCATTGCTTGAGGTGTGGCCAGGGTGACCAACGACCAGGGCACTTCCATCTCAGGGGCCCTAACACGTGGCTCTGCATGTCGCCCCTTGCCACTCGGAGCCCCGTCACCTTGCTGCTGGGCGGTCAGCAGGCATGCGTTGCCCGCCTGGGCTGTGGTGTCCTCCAGGTTAGGGAACACACTCCGTCAGTGGCTGGGTCACTTCCTCCCCAGCTCCCGCAGGACGCCCTGCAGGTGGGTGGCGGGCATGGGGCGACCCCGGCCAGCGTTAGTAGTCTTCCAAGACCCCCTGGAGAGCAGGGTTCTCTCCTGCAGAGGAGAGCCTCTTGTCTAAGGGCCCTAGGCCGCGCTGGCCAGTGGTCCCGGGCTCCTGGAGTGGGGTGCGGCAGTCAACAGGGAGGGGCACCCGCAGTACTGGGATCAAGTCTTCATTGAAAGTCAGAGTGAAGCTTATCTCCAGGGGGCTGATTGAGGCCAAGCTGGGCGTCTGGCTGCAGCCAGGCCCCCCGTGGGCAGTGGGGTCAAAGCCTCGGCCAGCTGCAGCTGCTTTCCCAGGTGCCTCAGCAGGGGGCTGATGGGAAGTGGGTCAGCTGGGACTTGAATTGGTGCTTCTAGGGGGTGGAGGTGCCACCCAACCCCTGGTGGCAGAGGTTTTACCCACTACACCCTCAGGCCAAACACAGCTCCCAAGAGCCACACAGGAAAACCAGAACTCAGAAGGCGGGTGGGGCAGGTGTGCTCCCCGGTGAGGGGACTCAGGGTGCCTCTGCCAGGTGGCAAGCTGCCAAGCCAGGTTTGGAGGGGCATAACTGAGGCTGGACACCTGAGACGGTACAACCACCTCACTTAAAAACCAGGCAGTCTGAGGGCTGGCGCAGTGGCTTAGCAAGTGAACCTTCTGTCTCCCAGCACTGATATCCCACGTGGGCCCCAGTTCTAGTCCCGGCTGTTCCAGTTCCCATCCAGCTCCCTGCTTGTGGCCTGGGAAAGACAGTCGAGGACGGCCCAAAGCCTGGGGACCCTGCACCCGCGTGGGAGACCTGGAAGAAGTTCCTGGCTCCAGATCAGCCCAGCTCTGGCTGTGGCGACCACCTGGGGAGTGAGCCAGCAGATGGAAGATTTTTCTCTCTTTCTCTCTGTAAATCTACCCTTAAAAATAAATAAATAGATACACGAATCTTATAAAAACAAAGGGTTGGGCAGTCTCCAGCTGACAGCTCCCGAGTCTTCCCTTCCTCCCACATTAATTCTGGAACTTGTAAATGATAGACCCGGGTCACGCGTTCCATGGAGTTGCTTAGTTTTGTGCCAAGTCTGAAGGGACAGCCAACCCCACCCTGCCTCCCGGGGACATAGCTGAGTCTGCTGACCTGTGGCCTTTGAGGTCAATGGAAGGGAGGGGGGACACTTCCATCCAGGGGAGATGTGTGCAGGTGGTGGCGAGCGGGGCAGGCAAAGCCTGGCCCCCACAGTCAGTGGACCCACACCTGGGGGGCTGTCTGTATTTAATTTGATTTATTTGAGAACTGGGGTGGGGGATGGGATCCCCCGTCCACTGAGTCACTCCACTGGTCCTGTGATGGCCAGGGAGGAAGCCCCGAGCTGGAGGCCCAGTGCCCCATGTAGGGGGCAACAGTCTGATAACCCGAATCCCCCCACTGCCTCCTGGGGTCTGCATTGCAGGCCATAGCTCCCGGGCATGGAACTCATGGAACACACAAGTGTCCCTGCCACCAGGCCAGTCAGCCGTGTCACCTCGGGGCTTTTCAAAGCAGAGAACTGCCCGGGCCCTGCTGTGGATTTGTGATTGGACAGGAATGAGCAGGGGTGCAGCATGAGGGGTGCTGTAGGTCCCGCTGGAGGGGTGGGGCCCAGCTGGGGGAGGACATAGCAGCAGCCACAGAGATGACAGGTGGGGATGGGTGATGGGTGGGCGACAGGCAGCTCATTACATGTTAACACACACACACCCGCACTTCCTTTGGCAGTGGTGGGGCGGGCTCGGTGGGGGACTATTCCTAGCAGCCTCCTGGTCTCTAGGAAGGCCCTAGCCCTGGCCTGGGGAGCCATGGCGGGTGGCAGCTGGTGGGTGGGGACCAGCCGAGAGTCTGCAGTGGGAGGAGGGGAGGTTCTTGCCGTGGAGCGTGGCCGGGAGGAGCACAGTCCAGGGTGGCCGGGAGGGCCACAGCAGGAGAAGGCCGGCCACACTCACCGTCTGTGGGGCCTGGGCAGACAGGTGCTCACTGACTCGCTGGGTGGCTGGCTGAGGGTGAGAGTGGGCACAGTGTCTTGGCTGCTGAGGTCCAAGCACCGTCTGCTACTCACCGGGACCCTCACACACACCCCTACCTTGGGTGGGAGCCATCAGCTTGTGTGTGGGAGTGCTCGCCCTATAGGAACACCCGCAGACCCTTGCTGAGTACCCCCTGGTGGACAGACTGCGCAAAGCGCCCTCAGTGCTGCCAGTCCCCTGGGACTTAGCAGGGTGCAGTCCCGAGAGGCGCGGTGGACAGGCGTCTGTGGGGTCAGTGGTGGACCAGCTGTCTTTCCCGGGAGGCTGGGTGGACACAGTCGTGCCATGCTCTGCTTCAACATGATTGTGCGTGCACAGCTGAGTGTGCCCGTGCTCGCGCGGGGGGAGCGTCCACATGCATGTGTGTCCGTGCTGTGGCCTGTGTTCAGGGTGTACCCAGTGGCCGGCCTGCTTCCCCGCGGAGCCCTGTCTGACTGGCACCTGCCGATGGTTCTTCCCCAGGGCTCGGCAGGAAGATGGGCCCCCGAGGTTGGGGCCTCACGCTGAGCTGCGGCGTGCTGCTGATCTTGGCCCTTGGCCCGGTCCTGGGCCGTAGGACGCCTGGCCAGCAGGAGCAGGAGCAGCAGGAGCAGGGGGTGACCAAGGAGCCGCCACAGCTGGACAGCGACGACAGGTGAGAGCTGTGGGGGGCGTATGGGGCCGGAGCAGGCAGGTGGAGGGAATGAAAGCTGTGGCTGGAGGGCAGCTGTTGGACAGGGGCTGGCTCTGCCTTCTCACTGACCTGGCGTCTGCTAAGCGCCCCAGGAACCTCCGGGGGCTGAGCTGGGGGGAGCAGGATGGGGCAGGGCCTCTGCCGCCGTAGCCACGCCTCTCCGCCAGTGCCCATCCTGGGCTCCGAGAGTGCTAGATGCTCAGTGCTGGGGTGACTCGCCCACTGCCACTCATTCCACAAGCCTCATGGGATGGCCCGTGCCGGCCCTGGACTTCCTCCCACCGCCCATCCATCCATCATGCTGACTGACACCTGAGGCTCTGAGTTGGGGGGAGACTCCCTCCCTTTTTTTTCCTTCTTTCCTTCCTTTCCTCACCTACAGACCCCGGCACAGTCCCTCCACTCCATGGGTCAGGCTGTCCGTGGGGCCTGGGGAAGCTGCCAGCATCCTAGCCCCGGACTGCAGGAATGCCAGGGTACAGGTGATGGAGGGTGCAGCAAGCACTCCCCACCAGGCTGCACGATGGGGGTAGGACCTGGAACACCACGCACAAGGGGTGGACGGGGTCTTCCAAGACCCTGGCCAGGATGGACAGTGCAGGGGGGCTGGTGTGAGAGGGTGAGGGGAAGCGGTAGCCTAATGTGGTGTTTCATGGGAGTGGGAGTCATGGGGTGGGGGCGTCATGTTCTGGAGCAAACACGGGCAGGGGAAGTGGCCTTCACAGTCAGAGGGTCTCGGCCAGGATGGGCTTTGGCTGGGCAAGAGCAGTGAGTGGCCAGCGAGCTCGGTGCAGCGCTGTGCAGAGCCACCAGGTGGCAGCCCAGAGCTGCCGCCGCCACCTGCTGCGGGGCTGGCCGTTTCCACCCAGGGTACTGAAGCCTTGGAGCTTTCCTGGGGTCACAGGTCTGTCCAGGAACCCCGCACTGCACCCCGTCTGGGCTGTCCCATCTGCCCTGCCTGCCTTGGGTCACTGCTGTTTGTGTTGTGGTGGGTGACCAGTGACGAGTGTGCAGGCAGGGCCAAGTCCTCAGGGCTAACTGGCCGCAGTCTCCGGCCCAGAGCTGGACTCAGCCGCTTTGCTCTGCCAGGGATGAAGAAGAGCATGGCCGACACAGCCCCGGCAGGGGCCCGGACCCCGCCCCTTCCAGCTGCTTCCGCTGCTGTGACCCACCCACCCCCATGTTCCAGGCCATCCCGGCACCCCAGATCAACATCACGATCCTGAAAGGTCAGGCCCTGTCCCCGGGGCTGGAGGGGCTGGGATGGGGCGACTGGCGAGGGGTGGAGGCCTGGGCGAGGGCGTGAGAGACTGACTCATTCGGAGGAGCAGGATCTGGGATGGACCTGCAGGGTCCAGAGCGAGTCTAGAGCGCCTCCCCTCGCCCCTGGGCCCTGGGACTGCTCCCTGCCCCCCGCTCAGCCATGCTCGGAATGCCGCCTGTACCCTGAGGTCCCGACACCACGGAGGGCCGCAGCAGAGCCCACATGTGCTGGGCCTGAGCCCAGGGCACTGGCAGAAGGCGGAGGGTGGGCCAGGCGAGACTGGAGGCATCCAGCTTGTGCATGGAGGCAGAACCCATTCCAAGGTCGCGTCTCCGTGCCAGATGGGCTCGGGATCAGAACAGGATGGGGAGGGGGCAGGAGTGGCTGTGGTGACGGGAGGAAGCAGGGCAACCCCTCCCTGACTCCCACTGGCTTTCCTGTCCCTTGCAGGTGAGAAGGGTGACCGCGGAGACAGGGGCCTCCAGGGGAAGTACGGGAAGACGGGCTCCGTGGGCGCCAGGGGCCACATCGGGCCCAAGGGGCAGAAAGGCTCCGTGGGCGCCCCCGGGGACCGCTGCAAGAGCCACTACGCCGCCTTCTCGGTGGGCCGCAAGAAGCCGCTGCACAGCAACGACTATTACCAGACGGTGGTCTTCGACACAGAGTTCGTGAACCTGTACGGCCACTTCAACATGTTCACGGGCAAGTTCTACTGCTACGTGCCCGGCGTCTACTTCTTCAGCCTGAACGTGCACACCTGGAACCAGAAGGAGACGTACCTGCACATCATGAAGAACGACGTGGAGGCCGTGATCCTGTACGCGCAGGTCAGCGACCGCAGCATCATGCAGAGCCAGAGCCTCATGCTGGAGCTGCGGGAGCAGGACGAGGTGTGGGTGCGCCTCTTCAAGGGCGAGCGCGAGAACGCCATCTTCAGCGACGAGTTCGACACCTACATCACCTTCAGCGGCTACCTGGTCAAGCCGGCCGCAGAGCCCTAGCCCGCGCCGCCCCGGCTCCCCTCCTCCCTGCTGGCTCCCTCGCCTCGCCTCTGCTTCTCCAGCTGTGGCCTTTGATGGGGAGGGGGGCCGCAGCGGCCGTGGCCTAGGGGATCCCAGGTCCAGCGCATCCCTGGGCGCAATTCCGCCTAGCCAGTGCCAACGGTCTCTAAGAGCAGCAAGCAAACCTTGGCCGGGAGCACGGGGTGCCACGGGATGTGGTACCGTCTGAGGCTGCCAGGGCCTCTGCCCCATGAGGTGTGGGCTGGAGAGGGGGTTTAGCGGTCTCCGGCCAGGGCCGAGGTCTGCGTCGTGCCCATGTGCCTGTGGCTGTGTGTCAGACTCAGCTGGTCTTTCTGAGCCTGGACAAGCCAGGGTACAGGTGCTGCTGCCCCGGTTGGGATGGGGTGATGGCCATGCCCCGTCGTGGGCTATGAGCCTGGCAGAGCCGCCCACGGGCTCCTGACCTCAGGGAAACCCAGTCATCAGGAGCGAGGCTCCAGGTGGCCAGCACCACGCCTTCAGCTTGGCTGGGGCTGGGATTCACTCCCACATCCCAGCCCCTGGCTCGCTGGGGCTGGTGGTCCTTCTCACTGTCATGGTCTAGAGGGGCCCAGGAGGGGCTTTCTCCAGGCCCCTGGGCAGGGGACAGCTGGAGGAATCCAGTGTCCTGATTTACTCCTTGCCCCGGGACCGGTGAAACTCCACACGGAGACCCAGGTGCAGGTCACCCTGGGAGGCCACATGGGTCTGTAAGCCCCCAGTGCGGGCTTGCCTCCCGTAGCCTTGGCTCAGGCCTCCTTCCCGGGGGGTCTGGTCACCCCTCTGAAGGCCTCTGCTTGTCCCACCCCAACGCCACTGCTGCCTCTGCGCTCGCTCGGAAGCCATTAAACCTGGGACCCTGTTTGTCTGCACTCGGCTCAGTTTGCTTAAGCCCGCCTTTGTCTCCCCCTCACCGTCCCCACCACGCCCACCTCCTGCCTATTCCATACCTGGCAGGAGTCGGGAGAGTACGTGGCACCAGGAGTTTGGGTCCCTGCAGGCTGAGCCTGGGGCCGGGGTGTCCCTGGCTGGGAGGTGCCAGAGCCAGTGGGCTGGGCGGCTGGAGCAGTTCCCAGGCCCAGTTGGATGTGGGGTCCAGGGGAGTGCGTGGGTGAGGCTGAGCTGAGGACTGCGTGTGCACAGTGGGCAGGAGGCAGGGCCTGAGGACCACGGGGATGGAGCCCGCTCCCCCAGAATTCAGTCCTGGGCTCTGTCCCATTCTGTGCCCTGGGGAGTGTGGCCATGTCACCCCTACTGTGCCACCCGGATCCGGAGGATCCCCTGCCTGGATCCCTGAGTTGGTTCCCACTTGGGTCCCATGTACAGGGGCTGGGGTTGGGACTCAGGCTGCCCTGTGCCCAGGCTGCTCTGCGGGGGCCTTCCACACAACTGCCCCGGTGCTTTCCCAAAGGTGCCCGCCCTGGGTGCCACCCACCTCCCTCCAGGGACCCGGTAGCACGGGAAAGGCACCTGCTGCTCTGCGCCCCGCCCCTTTCCTGGAGGCCCCTGGCTCTGGGCCCTCTACGCCCCCACACAGTGCAGGGATGGGCCTCTGCCCTGCCCTGCAGAAGCACCTGCTCTCAGAGAACTTCGCCAAGTCTTCTCATGCCTGCCCCAGGGGCTCATTCTCAGCTAAAACAAGTATCAGTGTTTTGGCTGATACTTGTAAAAGGGTTTAGCGATGGCTGGAGACTCAGCCGGACGGAGGAGTGGCTCAGGACTCTCAGGAGGTGCCAGGGGTCAGGCGGGAGGGCATGACCCACCCTGACTCCCCAGGATGGTTTTCTGTAGAGTTTGCCATGGGAGCATGGTGCGAGATATAGACCACTGGCCCTGAACCACCATGGAAACAGGGTGACAGGAAACATTCTTGGGCCTGCACCATGGCAGCAGGCCCACCTGTGGCACCTGCATCCCATAGGGGGACCTGTTCAAAACCAGGCTGTTCCACTTCCTATCCAGCTCGCTGCTCGTGGTCTGGGGAAGCAGCTGAAGCCCTTGGGCTCCGGCACCGGCACGGAAGACCCGGAAGAAGCTCCAGGCTTTGGACTGGCCCAATCCTGGCTGGTGCTGCCCCTTGGGGAGTTAAACCAACGGATGGAAGACGAGTGTGCGTATCTTTCTACACCTTGGACTTTCAAATAAATAAATATATATTTTTAAAGAGCCAAAACCTTGCCATTTTTAGCCGGAAGCCCCGGTGGTAACTTCCTGAGCTTGCATGAGGCAATGGTTTTTTTGATGTGACCCCCCAAAGCACACAAACCACAAAGACAAAAATACATACATCACACGTCATCAGAATTTTTAAACTTCCGTGTTTCGAAAGACACTGGTGAGGATGTTGGAGAACCCCTCCCACAGGGGAGGCACTGCGGGAACCTCGTGGCCCCAGTGGGCGAAAGGGCTGCAGCCGCTCAGAGCTGAAGGGGGGTGCCTCCCCTCCAGGTAGCCAGGATCTCAGGGCGGGGGCTGCCCAGCCCCATGAGCCCCTGGGGACACGCGAAGCGAAACTACGGTGAGATATGGCAGGACAACCAACAGGTCTCAGCGATATGCGTTTGTGAAGGGGCCTTGGGTGCCACTGCCAGGCTGCGAACCCCGCGGCCTCTCGGGAAAATGCTGGTGACACCTCAGACTGAAAGCCAGCGTGCCTCGGGCCCGCCATCCCAGGTCAGGTACATCCTGTCCATGCATCATTGTTGTTAAAGATGTGTTCATTTAAAAGATATGGAGAGAGAGAGAGCTTTCATGCCCTGGTTCATCCCCCAAGTGCCCTCCGCAGTCAGGGCTCAGCTGGAGCCAGGACCTGAGAACTCCTCCTGGCTCTCCCACGTGGGTGGCGAATGCTCGAGCCGTTCCATGCTTAGTCGACAGGAAGTGAAGCTGGGGTCTCAGTCCCCGTGGGGTGCAGGCGTCCCAGGCAGTCCACTGCGCTGCCACGGTCATGGTATTAACAAGCTCGTCCTTCCTGTGCAGTGTTGCCAAGTGTCAAGCGAGGGGTGAACCCCAGGAGCAGCGCCCTAAGGGGAGGGGGCCCCACCCTGAGGGCAGTCAGAGGGCATGTGCCCAGAGGCTGGCAACAAACCAGAGCTGGCCATATGCCTCCTGTCGGACAGTGCGCCCTGTGCGGTGATGCCCACGGCCCTCAAGGATCCCACGGAGCGGTTACCGACACAGCGATAAGAGCAGACCAGGAGCTGGGAGGGTCCAGGGTACATCCTTCCAAGAACGTTGTTGAGCAAGTGTCCTGGATGGGACGGTAGGGTGAGGTCACCCCAACAGCAGAGGCGGACCCCGCTGCCGGGAGGCATTCCAGGAGGAGTGAGTAAGCAGGGACTGTCTTGCTGAAGTCCCCCAGGGAGGGCGCAGGGAAGGGGCAGGGTGACCTCAGGTGCCCCCTGCTCTGCTGGCCTGTGTGTCCAGCCCCTCCCAGTGCAGACTGGGGTGGGTGGAGGCCATTTCTCAGTGCACGTGGCTGGCTGGGGACTGCGACAGGATGAGGTGCCCCAGATCCCTTGCCAGCGGGAATGAATCCTCACAGAGACAGCTGCAAAGACCCGCAAAGCATCGTCATTTTCATGGCATCAGCCCAGAACACGGCAGTTCCTGGGCAGGGGAGACGCCGCTGCACCCACACGGCCACCGCACCCACACACGTGCTCACGGCGGGCAGAGAGCACAGCGTGGGGCCACCACATGTCCATATGGGTGGAGGAGTGACCCACAGGCCGTCCATACCACAGAGCACTGCCAGCGAGGCTCCTGTGCCAGGCGCCGTGCTTGGGCAGGGGCGACGGGTACATGGTGCACATGCTGGCACTGCCACAGGCACACGGGCAGGTCAGGGTGGCCTGTGAGGGGACGAGGGGTAACTGTTCATGGGCTTCTTAAAAAAACACAAAAAGATTTCATTGAAAGGCAGTGACAAAGAAAAGAGAGAGAGGAGTTCTTCCACTTGTCGGTTCACTCCCCAAATGGTGGCAGCAGCTGGGGCCAGTCAGGCCCTAGCCAGGAGCCAGGAACTCCCTCGGGCCGCCCGTGTGGATGCAGGGTTTGGGTCATTCTCCACTGCTTTCCTGGGTACATCAGCAGGGCGCTGGATAGGAAGTGGAGCAGCTGGGACTCGAAGCAGAGCTCCCGTGTAGGGTGCCAGCCTCACGGAGGTGGCTTAAGCTGCTGACCAAAGCTGGCCTGGTGGTCTAATCCAGGGTGGTAGCAACTGCACGAATCTGCAGTTCACGACAAACGGCTGGCCGTGCGGGCGAAGTGAGAGCCGGCTGGCCGTTTAGGCAGGTGAAGTGAGAGCCGGCTGGCCGTGCAGGTGAAGAGAACGAGGCATTGTGGGTAGCTTAGAGCACTGCACTCATAAAAAGGAGTGAGGATTGATTTTTGTTTCTAATAATTACAACTATATAGAGATACGTACATTTTTATAAAGATTTATTTAGTTTCACTTGAAAGGCAGAGCTACGGAAGATAGAGAGGGATCCTCCACGTGCTGGTTCACTCCTCAAATGGCCGCAAGGGCCAGGGTTGGGCCAGTTCGTAGCAGGGAGCCCAGAGCTTCCTCCGGGTCTCCCCCATGGGAGCAGGCGCCTAAGGATTGGGATGGCCCTGACAGTTTTCCAGGCCACAAGTAGGGAGCTGGATCATAAGTGGAATAGCCGGGACCTGAACCAGTGCCCACATGCATGCTGGCGCTGCAGGCGGGGGCTGAGCCTACTACACCAGGAGATCGGCCCCAGTGTGAGCTTTCAAGGGTCAGCAGGCCGTGCCCTCCAAAGTGACGTGAGCACAGCCTCCTCCGGGACCTCAGGACAGCTGCTCGGGGCCAGCGCTGCAGTGGACAGAGCTGCTGCCCGTGCTGCCAGCATCCCATGTGGGCGTCGGCTGCTCCACTTCCAATCTAGCTCCCTGCTAACGTGCCTGGCAAAGCAGCAGAGGATGGCCCAAAAGTTTGGGTCCCTGCACCACTTGGGAGACCCAGAAGAAGTTCTAGGCTCCTGGCTTCACCTGGCTCAGCTCCAGCCATCACCGCCACGGAGGGAGGGAAGCAGCAGACGGAAGATCTCTTTCTGTTATTCCTCACTAACTCTGCCTTTCAAATAAAATAAGCAAAAATGACTCAAAAGCCTATATTCCTGTGAGACCAGCATCGTTTGACCTCAGGTCTGCGAATGCACAGTCCGTCTCCCGCACAAAGTGAGGCGATGTCTTTGAAAGAATTGTGAGTTCATGTTTTGGGAGGGTAACTGCATAGCATGGGATTTTAAAAAAAGATGTATTTTATTTTTATTGGAAAGTCAGATATACAGAAAGGAGGAGAGACAGAGAGGAAGATCTTCGTCCAATGATTCACTCCCCAAGTGACCGCAATGGCTGGAGCTGAGCCAATCCGAAGCCAGGAGCCAGGAGTCTCTTCCAGGTCTCCCAGGCGGGTGCAGGGTCCCAAGGCCACAAGCTGATGGGAAGCAGGGTTGCTGGGATATGAACTGGTGCCCACATGGGATCCCGGGCGTGTGCAAGGCAAGGACTTCAGCTGCTTGGCTGCCGCGCTGGGCTCAGGATTTTTTTTTTTAATGTGCAAAGCCCAGAGGTGTGGGGCTGAGCATGCCACTGCCCTTATCCTCAGAGAAGCTCAAGTCGGGGTGCAATGGCTTCAGGGCTCTCAGTAAATCCCTGCGTTGACCGCAGGACGGTCACGGAACCCCCAGCAGACGGGGGGTATGGGAGCCCTTCCACGTGTCCCATAAAACACTGGAGTGGGCACAGAGGGCACCAGGACACAGGACGTAAGGGCAGGCCTTCAGTTGGCAGGGCGGAGGACGACCCTCCCAGTCACGAACCATCCCACGCACGAGTAGAGTTG